GTTTCTAAACTGACAGCTGAATGTGGGACCTAGTGCTATCCAGTTCTAAATTGCTCCCGAGTTTTTGTGCTATAAGGGCTCTACCCAGCCTATGGGGGATGAAGAAGATGATGATGATTAGAAGGAAAAGAAAGAAGAGGGGGGAGAGATTTGATTTCTTTTTCTTCTGCTTTGATATTGGTGTGTAGTATGTTGTATGTTTTGGATTATGGGAGATGTTTATTTCTATAATAATTTAGTTTTGTGATTTCCATATGTGCTACTTGCTTTGTTGTGGTAGTGTTTGTCCCAATGTTATAGTATTTCTTCACTTGTTATGTTTTCATATTGTTCATAGCATGTATTTATGTTATTTCTTGTCATATATGCCTGTTTATTATGTTATTATTTCATGTGCTCGAAGGTGATTAAATTTAAAATTTCAAATTAAGGGGTAGCATTAACTAAGATTCATTGTAATTTAAGAATTTATAAATAAAATGATTAAATTTACATAAATATTTACTAATTGTTGAATTAAATATTAATTTAATAATTACCAACCTCTTACTTGAATTAATAATTCTTTTAGTATACAAATTCTTAAACACTTAAGCTTAATTGACTGAAAATAAATTTAATTAATTATATAAAAATTCAATAATTATCAATTTACATAATTCAGTGTTTGGGGTTTAGAGTTCAGGGTTCATGGTTCAAGGTTAAGGGTTTTTAGGGTTCAGGATGCAGAGTTTTGGGTTGGTTTCAAGGTTTAGGATTAGGGGTTGGGGGTTAGGGGTTGGGGATTGGGTTCAGGGTTTAGGATTTTGAACTCTTTTTAAATACCTTGAACAATTGAGAAATAATTGATTATTTTAAGAAGGAAAAGAGTTTATTTTTATTTATATTTGAAAATAAAGAGTTGATATTCAAAATTATTAAATGAACTTAACCAGTATTCCTCATAGAATAGAAAAGAAAATAAAATAAAAATGAAAAAAAAGAAAAGAAAATGCTCAAAGTTCAAAATCCATTAGTTTATGAAGATAAACTTCATATTAAGTTTAAAAATAAAAAAATGGTATCATTTCTCTTTTCTAAAAGAATCAAAAGCTTCCTTGATTGAAATTTAGATTATTGTGCATTAAATGAAATAAAAAAAATATGAATTCAGATTATTTGGTTGATAAGCATAAATGAATTCATTTATATATTTGTTAATTAAAGTTAATTTAATCAGAAATACATTAGGTGATTAAAAATAATTGTATTTAAAGAATATTAAAAGAAGTAATGTGATGACATTATTCGTTAATAATAATTTAATATGTGTGCATTTGTATTGAATAAATTTATTATATTATTAAAGAATAATGAAATCTTGAGATAAAAATTATCATGAAACTTAAAAAGTTTAAATTTAAATATTAAATTATTTATAATAAGTAATGTATAAGTTTGGAGAAATTTGGTATGTTGAAATATGATGATATGACATAATATTTTTCTTACATTTTTTTATGATTTTATCGGGTATATTTTATGTTTATGTGAAGAAATTACCACTTGGGAAGATATGTAGTAATTTGAAGATTGACACTCTAATGCTATAAGAAAGCGCCCCGACATCATATTGAGCGCTACGGTGCCATATATTGGGAGCCTCGACACTCGAGGAGGACAAATTTCTATGAAATTCTCAAAAGCACAACACTTTGGTGCCTAAAACATGCGCCTGAAGCTGGGGCTCCAATGCTCAAAGTGCAATGTAACAGTGTCTGATGTTTTAAAATGAGAATTTTAAGTCACAAAAGGCGGCGCTTGAACCCACCGTCATGACACTTGATGTTGGTGCCCCGATGCTACATGATCAGTGCCCCTACACTCCTCATCGACATAGGTTGGTTTTACGGTTCGGCCGAACTCTTAGGATAAGAATTCGTGAATTGAGAGGAGACTCTCTCTAGAAGTCTCTTGTGCGTCAAGGAAATACTAGGGGGTGGGGGGAAGTGTTAGGGTGTAATAGAGTGTGAGATTTTTTCATTTGTTTCTATGTGAGTGAGAGAGTGTGTGTTTTTAATCAAGTAAGGAGGAGATTGGAGGTGGCAATCAAATATTGGGAACAAGGATTTTGTCTTCTTTTTTTTTTCTTTTTTTTTCTTTATAATTTGATTTGATTTCATCAATGTCATTCATATTTTGGTTTTAAATCATGAGTAGCACTTAAAATTTCTTGCTCCTTTGGATTGGCACTCTTTAAAATCTAGAAAATTTTATGCTCGATACTTGAAACTAGTAAATATTTGAAGTTGTTTTAACCTTCTTATCTTAATTTATGTTCATTTAAATTATTAAAATTAGTTATAATATAGGACTATCGGATAGAAGCGCAAATAGGTTAGAACATATGAGTTTGGTGGAATAGGAATGCTTTCATTAGATTCTTGTAATCTTTTTGGGGAATGTGGTTGTTCTTGTAGGGTTAGAGAAAATTAATCATAATACGGAACTCCGATACATGTTATTTCCGAGAGTAAGTATCAAGCTTCGATGAACAACTACAGCAGGAGAATCACTTGGATGATTTTAGTTTTTATTGAACCAACTCAACTCTAGCTTTCATATCATTAGAAAACCTTTCTCACTTAGCTTTATTATTTAAGTTTGAAATTAGGATTTAAAAACCTTTAAAACCTCAAAAAAAATTTGAACTAAATTTATGATTAGTAAACTAGTAATTAATCTTTTTTCTTAGAATGTCTCCCAATGGTCAGAATGTATGGAATATAGCATCTCCTTTGTACCTTGAATACATGCGCTGAACGTAACTCTCTTCTAGTATTCAAATATCCAATGCCACAAAACTTTAATTTAGTAATATTTTAGCTATCCAGAAGTCCTCTTATATTCAATTTAATCATGCATTCTCGTTGATGTAGCCAAGGTCATGTAAAATAATCTAGTTTTTTCATCATCTAAAATAGATGGAATAGTAATTGCTACATCACTAACCACTGTAGAGCCTTGCAAGACATAATTCAAAAATTTCTTTTATTGTTTAATCATAACAAAAGAGCTTTGTCAACCTTCAAAACTCAACATTCACCGGAATGCTTGTATTATTTGACATAAAGAATATTTAAGAAAGCTAAATTTATTTTCAAATCGAGGACATGCCTCACGTTATCAAGTGTCGTGATAATTCTGTTAAACATCTTGATTTTGATAGTTTCAATATTGGCTATATTATAAGGAGGATTATTCCCCATTAAAACAACACCCTTAGGCACTATTTTTCATGTTGCAAACCAATTCATATTGGGACAAGATGAAATGTGCAAAGCCGAATTAGGAACCCAATCATCACAGGGCTCACTACTAATTTTTTCGACAGCATTGACTTCATAAGAATGATTTGTTATTTTCTCTTCTGATTAGTAGTCGCTTTCTTATTTTTGTTATGCAACTTGTAGCAATCAAATTTGATGTGCTCTTTCTTCTTATCATTTGTTTCTAAATTTTGATATGCTCTTTGTATCAACACCAAAACTTCTCTCTTGAGTTCTACCTCGAATAACAAAAATTTCTCCCCGAGCAACAGATTTATCCACAAACTGCTTCATCTTCTCTTTAGAAATTAAAGCATCATACATTTCATCTTGAGTAAGCATCTCCCAACCATATAAAATGGTATTTCTTAATGTTGCATATGATGAATGCAACAAACAAAATATGAATTATTTCGAATCTTTGTCATCATGTTTTAATTCCAACAACAACAATAAGCTTTTATCCCACTAAGTGGCGTCATCATCATATTTTACTTCCATAGCCTCCAAATTAGAGGCTATTTTCTTAAGGATAGTTAAGTAGTCTTTAAGGAACACTTTTTCAACCATTCTCTAGAGTGCAAATGCTACCTTAAGTATAACTTACTGGTAAAACTTTTCGTTATTCACAACTCCTTCAATTTCAATCTTAATGCAAGGGAGGTCTTCTCCTTTAAATACTATGTAAAATCTGATTTAACAGTTGATGAATCTGAGATAAAATTTGTGGATCCTTGTGTTGTTTCTCCTCCTGCATCCATGATGAAGACATCTAATCAAATCCTAAGTGTATCATCTAAATCTATTTGCACCAAAACAACTTGCATCTTAACATGCCAAAAGAAAAAGCAGGTGTTACGATCCATAATCGAGATGTCGTATCTCATTGTTGTTATTATCGAGATTAAAACCTCACTGCGATATCGCTTGTTATGAAATAAGAGTGATGAGCGACAAGAGAAATAAAAATAATAAAATCAAGTATGCACAAAGTTACATCGAAGACTCTTGAAAGGAAAAAGCACAAGGAGAATTAATTATATTGATGTAAAGAAGATTATAAGTAAAGTGTGTTAGCTTACATAAGATCTCACTAAAAGAAAGGGTGATAATCTTGTGCAAAGAGATGGGGTATTCATAAGCTTGTACAAGTCATTTTATAAGGAAAATCTCAAAAGTGGCCAATAAAATAAAAGCACGTGGATTACAATCTAAAGGCTATAATGAAATCAATGTAATGGTAGAGATTTTCAATCTATGTGCTTATAATTTTCTATTAAAGCAATCAAGATCCACATAAGTCGGGGCACAAATCTAACATATATCATATGTAAATATTTAACTAAACTACCTAGCGCCCCATCCTGACATTCATATTAATTCAATAAAATACCAAATGTCTTGATTTATAACTCCATTGACAGTATTGGTGATAACTAATACCCAAAATTGTGTTGTTAAACAAGCAAAATTATGTTTTCGGTGGATATGGCCTTATGGGACACTAGCCATAGCTTCCTGGTTCTTATATGACGTAAAAAATATGACTTTTAGGTTGAACGAAAGACTAGACAATTAATCAACGGAAAATTCCCTCTTCTTCTTCATGGGCTGAAGCTGGCGTGATATAATTAAGCAGACTATTGCATTTTCTAACTGTAATTCTTGTAATGTGTCTGTTAACCTTTTCAGCTTGTTTCAAGCTTTTCAAATGCTGGTGACATTGAATGTTTCTATGCTTCTCTCTATACTGGTCTCTATTATGAGTCTCAGGTGATCAATTAATTTTGGTATATATATTTCTGTTCTTTTTCCTGCTAATTCTTCAACTATGCTTCACTTTATATCATCACTTCAACAGAAAGAAATGAATGCTGCAAAACGCCATATTGTTTCAGCTTGTCAAACTCCATATGGATCACGGTTCATGCTCTCTCTCTCTCTCTCTACATGCATATCACTTAATTCATATGTATTTATATATTTAACACACTTTATTTTCTTACATGTATGTCACTTTACTTATGCATAAGAGTAGTATTTCATTTTTTTTAAGATTAAAATAGTGGTATTTTTTATGTGATATGAAAGATTTGGGTGGTATATATGTAAAAGGTAAAGTTTAGTTGTTAAATATGTAAATGTGCCCCCTTCCGGGCATCTACATACATAGCACACAATCCTTGTGTATTTACAAATCTCACACCTAAAATTTCATATTTACATACATAGCATTGAAGTTTTAATATCACATAAAAAAACACTTTTATCACTTTTTAAAAGTGAAATATGTTTATGTACATATGAAATTTTAAGTGTGAGATATGTAAATACATAAAAATTTGCTTTTTCATTTCTTTTTCAATTGTTTGAGAAAGTTTTTTTCAGTTTTATATGTTTGATCCATCAGTTCCCAATGGTACTTGTTGCAGGTCTGATGATTATATGGCCGCCCTGGCAAAAGTCCACTGTTCTTGCCGAAACTGGAGTTTCAGCTGAAGTTTCTGCTCTGCCATCAAAAGCTCGAGGAGCGGAGTTTTTGCAAGAATCTTTAAGAGGCAAATTGGCCTTTTTTTGGTTGATTAGGGATGGTAATTATTGAAATTGTTAAGGTTATTTAAGCAAGGCGTTGGCTTTTGGGAAGATTTACATTCATGCCACTAAATTTCTATCTATCTACATATTGAACAAATAAACTTCAATTTTTGCATCCATGCGGATTAGTTTTATCAGAACTTTCATTTGGCGTGGATTTTGGAACTAATTTTGATTTATTGTTTATTAAAAAATGTGCAAAACTGCAAAGCAAAGTTATGAGGTGTTTAGTAAATTTCTAAATTTTCGGGCGTAGGCCAGCAAAATTTCTAAATTGCCTAAATTACATAACTACCTAAGGAAAAAAAAAATATTAAAATTTATTATTTATATGAAAAAATTTGTAATATTCAGAGAAAATGTAGATCAAAGCCTAACATGGCATTCGGTGCACCCAACTCGAGAGTACAATTTATGTGTTGGCTTACGAGTTGTGGCGATGGATAGGAAATTGTTTTAATTGACTTGAATTGAACATGACTAAAGTTTGTTTGTGACAACTTTATGTGTGTTTTGTATTTTAGATTGTTGTTACATCTCTATTTGAAAAATTGCTTTCTATGAATTTTTGTGCTGGGAATCTATTTTTTTTTTTCATCTGACTTGTTAAAGTGTTGTGGTTGTAAAAAAAATGATTTCTAATTTCTTGGATATATATAACTATTTGTGTGATTGTTTCACACGAATGTAAGCCCTAACTAAATTTATAATTTTTTAATAAAATTGTTTTATCCACAACAACTTCACAATCACTTTTTTAACAAGCTGGAGTCACTCCAAAGTCCAAAGATACCCTAAAAATCAAAATTTTGATTGAATTTTGTTTATGATTGATATTCTTTTCTTGTTGTTTTTAATAGGTAATGATGATCATATATATAGATAGATAGATAGATACATAAATAGATAGATGATGATGATGATGATGATGATGATGATGATGATGATGATGATGATGATGATAATAATAATAATAATAATAATAATAAATAATGTGGTAAATATAATCAATAATAATAAATTGGTTCTAAATATGTAAAAATAATAGAATAATGTGGTATGTTTGTAAATTTCCCTAAATTAGATCCACAAAACTAACTTCCCTCCCTACCCGAAACCCTCGCCGACCTCTCTCCCTCCCCTCTCTGCCGGTTCCGCCCATAAGCATCGCCTTCCTGACCGAACGCTCGCGATACTGTAGCGGTTAGAGCTAGCTGGGAAGGCAACCACAGGATTGCGGCGCACGAAGGCCTCCGCAACTCCCATCGTTCTCTTTCTTCCGTTCCGCTCCTACCAGAAACCATTGAGGAAGGTAACCCTCCTCTTTCTCTCCCTTCATTCTCTACATCTAGCCTATCCGTCTTCCACCGGGATTTACTAAATCCTGGATTTAAGGCCAAACGGAATAAAAACGGGATTTAAGAATCCGTGTGATTTAAAGAGGTCTTTTTTTTTTCTGCTTAGCATGATTTAGGTTAAATCCTGCTAATAGCTCTTTGAACATCCTTAAAATTGAAAATTTTGTGCATTTCGTATGCCTCGTTGATGGTAGAGGACTTCTTGTACATGGCAAAGAGCACGCTCATGACACATATTATGGAGATTTCAAGATACTGAACTGATGTTCATGCTTGGGATATAGGCAGGTAAACCCTAGTGCTTGTCGCCCATAGTGGACCTAACCGGCATGATTTGGGCTGGCGCAATTATTTTTTGGGTTGGCTTCGAGTTAACCTGGATAACTGGTAATCAATCCAATTACTCTTCGGGTTTGGATTGGGTTAATTGGGTTAAACGGGTCATATTTAGATTAGTTAAGATATTGATCTGAAAAATTGTAAGATTCATATAATAAATTGGTTACATGAGTTGGTTTCGGCTCAATTTGGGCTTGGGCCAAATATTTTGGCTTAATAAACAGGTGTGGTTCGAGTCAAGCATATTTTGATCAGGTCAATTTTAAGTCGGACTCAAATCCAAGCCGTCAACCCAAATTGACATCCCTATTCGTCATTAACTCCAAATCCTCTTAATCAATTGTTTGTGTGTAGCAGTTGGTGGGTCTTTTTCTTGGTGAGATTTGGTGTTCTCGTCTTCTATTGGTGAGATCTTTAAATTTGCTTCAACCAAAAATCTGTATGCCAATTGTTAGTAATAGTAAAAACAAAATGTTGAGCAAAGTCCACATGAAGATAAAGAAAATAACTATAGCACAACACAATCGCAAGCGCATACCAATTTACTTAGTTCAGGAGATTTATCTGCATCCACGGTCACACAAAGATTGGAAGTTTTACTAAATTTTAATAGGGATATATGGAGATATTATTCTTCCTATAATATAGAGGATGAATCAGAGTTATTATATCATAAGACAGGACATGAAAATGCCTCTTGTTGTCAACGTAAGATTGCGCAAAACAAAGAGGTGAAAATAAATCACAACCTCCTGATGTAAGAGCCAATAGAAGCGCCTTTTGATAATGATGTTGAAAACTTCTTCCTTAAAATACAATATGAAAATTATCTTAATCTCATGTACAAGAAATTAGATGCCTTAATATTCACTATAAAAAGATTAAGATTAGGTCATATTTCTTTTCCGTCCCAAAACAATCTTTATCAATTTTCAATAGTGGCTTTTTAATAATTAGGAGATTACTGTTATTAGGGCTGTCAGAAAAGCTCGTTGTTCGGAAATAACTCGTGTTCAACTCGTTAAGTAGCTTGTGTTCTAATTGTTCGTTAAGTAAACGAGCCGAACATGAATAAATTTTTTAAGCTCGAATTATAAACGAGACTAACACGAACAACCTTTTGTTCGATCTTGTTCAGCTCATTTTAGCTCAAAACAAAGAAATTATATATATTATTTATATAAATATATTGTATAGATTTATATATAATTTTAAATCATAGAAGCTTATGTGGTCATGTTGTTCTAATGCCTTCTACACTACATAAGTTGTGCAGATTCAAACCGAACATCATTGGGGCTGCCAAAATGGCTCGTTATTCTCGATCAACTTGTGTTCAATTCGTTCGCTAAACAAACGAGCCAAACATGGACAATTTTTTTTGTTCTCGATATGGAAACGAGTCGAACACAAACAAAATTTTGTTCGTTCTCATTCGGCTCGTTTTGACTCGAAATAATTAAATTATATATATGCACACACACACACACACACACATGCACATATATATAAAAAATACTACTCATCAATAAATAAATATATATATATATATAATTGATGTGTATTATTTTTTAATGATTTAATTGAGTACAAAGGTACAAAAAATTATAATCAATTAAAATTGGTAATTAAAAAAAAGAATAAATATATATTAAATGTTATTTAAATAAATATTTTAATATAAATAATAAGATTTAAATCTCAACTCTACCCTTAATATTCTACGACTGTGTGATTAGGGCTACCAAAACTGCTTGTTATTCGCGAACAACTTGTGTTTACCTCGCAAACGAGCCGAACAGGAACAATGGTACTTCTTAACGAGCCCAACACGAACCGAGCATGGGCTCGCTTAAGCTCAGCTCATCTACACTCCTAAACACCATCCATTTATTTTCTTAATTAATTTAAACGAGCCAATTTCAAGTTGAACATGAACAAGAATATATAATTTTTTGCCGAACATGAACACACTGTTCACGAGTAATTTCAAACACGAGCTAATTTCGAACAAGCCGAACATGAGCCAAGCCTGATGGCTTGTTTACAGCCCTACATGTCATATTAGGAGGAAGAGAACTTACTAAATTTAATAATTACACATTTCCAAAGCTACCACCGAGGGATCATCCCAAATACAAAGTTGCCAACAGGACTTGCATGAATCTAAAAATCTGCTAACAGGAGAACCGCCAGAGGTGTGCCGTGGTTTCGCTCGTTCCTTTAGGAATTACAACAGCAGTAGCAATAATCCCACTCTTATATGAATTGCTGGCTTTAATCTTGTTGCCTCAGGAATCACAAGGAATGCCCTTCAACTTGTTCTTTTAGCAGCATTATTCTAATAGCCAATTTCGGGCCACACTTAGGGGATATTTGATCAACAATATTTAGTAAATCTTGGTTTTAAGGCAAATCTGAGAAGAAAACTAAGATGAAACTGGATTTATGGAATCCAGGATATTAAAGTGCATTTTTGTTGTCCGGCAAAATTTAAGTTAATTCTCACTTAAATCCATTACAAGACAGTCTCTTACAGAGATAATGTAGCCAGGAAAATGTCTTGACTGAACATGGCTGGAAGGTTACCTACCAATTGGCATACCGCCATAGAAAATAAGTGGAGAAGGTTTACACACACATATTGAACATTGAATTTGAAAACTAGAGCACCTCCTTTCCTGGAATAGAAATTTCAACTGTAAGGGGATGAAGGAAAGAGAGAGAACAAGAAATGTCTTGTTGTGATGGTGTCAGAAGATTCTTAGAAGGTATTTTCCATTTTCTATGTCTTACTAGGGTTAGGTTTCCTGAAATAAGCACAGTTAACTTCTTGGTAACTCAGAGAGCAAGAAAGTCTCTAAGGTCAAAAATTCAAAATCTAGACTTTTAGTAATGTGATTCTGGTTCTTTGTGCTCAAGGAAATAAAGCTACTCTACTTTCATAGAGTTCTATACATGCTTGGTAAATGAGAGAAGTGTCAAAATAGTCTCTAACTTTTTGCATGAGTTCATTTTAATCCCCATGTCTATTGAAATGTTAATTTAATCCTTATAATCTTTTAATGTGTTGAAATAGATCCCACGGACAATTATTTTACCCCAATTTAAAGAGTCTACTGATTAATTTGATGCTTTTATAGGTTCTGGGATTAAAACGATCACATGTAAATGGACTGAACGATTTTGACACTTTACTCCTTGGTAAATGCATCTTCCATGTTCGTGAAACTACGGATTGGGTGCATGCTTGGGATAGGGATTTCCAAATAACGCTTTAATCGTAGTCATCGTAAGTAAAGTATCGATTGGTTTCAATAATGACCTCCATCCCATTGGAAGATGGAGAAGAAATTTCATGAATCTTAATTTGATTTAAATTTGAACCATTGAATCAGGATCTGTTTAAACTGAAAGATTATCACAACCATGATATTTTGCCCTTGCCCTTTACAAAATTAAAATCTGGAAAATCAAAGCCATCAGATTCAAATTGGATGTTTTAGTTTTCTTACAGTCAATATCACCAAAAAATTATGCATTTGCCGGCATAAACCCAAAATTAAAAAAGAGCATTGCATACATACCGCCCAAATCTTATATATTTACATATCTAAGTCCTAAACTGTACTGTTTAAATTTACACCAGCCAAATCTTTCATATGACATCAAAAGTATCACCATTTTAACTTTTAAAAAATGAAATACATATTTTCATGCATAGGTAAGGTTAAAAATTGAAGTTTAGGTGTTAGATATGTAATACATTGGAATTGAGTGGTATCGATGGTAATCTTCCAATTTTAAATTATGTCCATATATCATCCTAGTTAGCTGTGTCAGTTTGAAAGAAATATTGCATTTGGCCTTCCATTATGGCTGAAAAATTCCAAAAAATTAAAATAAAAAATCATCTCCTTAGGAGATGACAATGATGACAACGAAATGGGACTAAAGAACAGATGGCCTTTGCTGTTGCTCTTTTTTTTTAATAAATAAGAATTAGATGGTATACTTGTAAAAATCATAGTTCCTTTAGTGCTTGATTGGCTTATCATGTGGCTTCAGTAAAAATATGGCTTTAGTCATCAATCTTTGAGTTCGCAGGCTCAAAAGATTTTGTGAGAGTTTTTGACATAGCTACTAATTTGCATGATTTCTCAAATATAATTGTGGCACAAATATGAAAAATATTATGCCTTCAGAAATTTCATATAAAGTATAGACTTTTCTGCAGTCATCTGATTTGAAAATTGAATAGCTCGGTTTATTCAAGTTGGACTGGACTCATGTTTAGACTTGAGTTTTTATTTTTTTTATTATTTATTTATTTTCAGGGAAATTTACATACAAAGCACACAATTCTTTTGTATTTACATATCTCACACCCATGTTTAGACTTGAGTTTTTATTTTTTTTCCTTTTTATTTATTTTCAGGGAAATTTACATACAAAACACACAATTCTTTTGTATTTACATATCTCACACCCAAACTTTCATATTTACATGTACTCCTAAACTTTCATATTTACATGTATGGTACTTTGGTGCTTTAAACCTATGCATGAAAGAAAGGTGTATTTCACTTTTTAATAGTGATAACGGTGCTATTGTTTTATGTGATATTAAAGATTTGAGTGCAGCGTGTGTAAATATGAAAGTTTAAGCATTAGATATATAAATAGATAGACTTGTGTGCTATGTGTGTATATGCCCCTTATTTTTTTACCATTGCTTGAGCCTCCCACAACCCAAAACTCGCCAAGTCTAAAGTTGTCCAAAGCTTGGGTCTCCCATAAGTCCATCTCGAATAATTTATACAAAAATAATCCCCAACGTGTGCCTCAATACTAGACTGTTAAACCTTCCCAAAGGACTTACTAAACTGCTTATTTCTCCGAGTCATTCATTATAAAAAATCTTTTAGCGCATTTTGAGTACCGGCCGACTTGCTACTGATTCTCATCAATTGACCCGTAGCATACTTTAATTCAATACTCGCTCGAAGTTCCCATTACGAACTGCTAAATCCGAGCTTTAACTCACTCGTAATATAACGAGTTATTCTGAGTTCAACTTAACGCGTTTTCTCTATATTTGTTCTATGCAGGCAATTCCGTGAGGACGATCTTTATTTTCCCCAAAATATAAATAAAGGGTCACTAATCAAGGTTCGACTGCTCATTCTCTATTAAAAGTGTTTTGAACAGATTTTGAAATGAAAATCTTAAAAGAAAATTCTTTTTCTCGCAGTTTTGTCATGTTAATACAGCTCTTTTTGAGAATTATTTAAAGGAAGAATTACATACATACCGCTCAATTCCTATGTATTGATTGACATATCTAACACCAAAACTTCAATTTTTACATATATATATATATACATGATAAGGCTTATATCACTTTTTAGAAGTTAAAACAGTGGCATTTTTTTATGTGATATAAAATGAAAGATTTGGGAGGTTTTTATGTAAAAAGTAAGGTTTAGGTGGTATGCATGTAAATACATAGGAATTGGGTGGTATGTATGTAAATGTCCCTTAATTAAGCTCATCTCTGTTTTCCAGGCTTAGTTGTATTAATGTCACGCTTCAGGAATGTGGCTCTTGCAACAGGGTTATTAGCCTTCGCAGCTGGTGGTCTAGCATTTCCATTCTGGATTGCGTAAGCAAAACTTGAATATGAATACTAAAACTATGTGTTTGTAATATAATATTAATCGATGGACTTTTTTGTAAAGTGTTTTTACTCATTTTTTGAAGGACATCAAAGGCTAAGCCAGTAATCGATTCATCAAAGCCTCTGCCACCTCAGGCCACTTTCAGAGGGCCTTATATAAACTCTGGTTCTTGTGATATTGGTCCAGACCCCACAACTTATCCAAAAACTTGATTGTTTGGGGGGCATTTACATGCATGCCACAGAACTCTTATATATTTGCATATCTAACCCTTAAAAGTTCATATTTACATGCATACTACTCGAATCTTTAACATCAATAAAAATATTACTGTCGTTGAGTTTATGGCAGCAAAGTGTTGCTAGTGTAAATATTAAATTTTAGGTGTTTGATGTGTAAATGCATAAGAAATGTGCGGTATGTATGTAAATTTCTCTTTTTATCTTTGAATTATCCAGTAATTATATAGGATAAATAATGGAAAGAGAGTGTTGGATTTAAATTGTATTAGAATGAGAGTGAGAACTGTTAGATTTGTTTTGAGATTAGTTGAATATGAAGGATTTGTTTCATAAATGTTAAAATAAATATAAAAATTATTATGCTCATCGCAGTGTAATTTGTTTTAGAAGTGCGGTTTTTTTTTAGAAGAAAAAAACAGTTATTGTTACGATTTAATTGTAGATCTATATTTGAACCTCATAATTTCTTGTGTCTTGGGCGGCCCCAAAATGGGAATGCGATTATTGCTTGTGGAGCCTGCATGCAGAGTTGCATGTGCTCTCCAATTACAGCCGCATATCGTGGCTCTCCGACCACTCTGCATGCGTTCTTTGCATGCAATAATTAGACATAAAATGAAGAGAAAATATTATGTATGGACGTTGTACGAACAGACAACAGTGGCTTGGAATGTTAGGTTACATGTTGAATTTGTGGTGACATCTTCCCATCCACCTTTGTTCATCCGTACAAGTCATAAATTTTCAAAGGAGGTACTTGCCACTAGTAATTTTTTGCTAAATTTTTTAATATTATTTGATATGCTGAAATCTGAAACATGAATAATTAATAATAATGCAATATTAATTAATTATTATAATACTAATTAAAAAATTTTTGAAGGGAAAAATATTAAACTTGAATATTCGTTATCATTTGACTTTTTGTTTTGGGATAGTTCGCCTTAAATTTTGTTTTTATGGATGGGTATCTGTTGTTAGGAAAATTATTATGTGTGGCTGGTAGCATGTTTGGACGAGTTTGGGTGTGATCATGCTGCCATGAATCGTAGGGCGGCTCATTTAAATTGTCATCCAAACGTGTAGCCATCACACGTAATCAAAGTGGTTGAGGATGTATTTGTTTTGAACAAAGAGTTAATTGAGAAAGAGGGCGTGGGGAGGGGAAGGGAGAGAGAGAGGGAGGGTCTGTTGGCCAAAAATTTTTCTATGCGGACTCCTGACGTAGCTTTATGTGTGGCGCGGGGTATTCCTGAGTTATTTTCAGGTTATTTCTGGATTATTTTCAATAATCCCAAAATGATCCAGAAATAACTCAAAAATAAAATTTCGAGATTATTGAAAATAACCCAGAAATAATCTGAAAATAACTCAGGAATAACATGCACCGCACATAGAGGTATGTCAGGTGTTCGAACAAAAAATGCGGGCATGTTTGACACAGCTGCAACTTTTTAGCTATAGTTTATCTGTCCCAGGAAGTAGTTGTGGGGAAGCTGCTGCGAGGAAATTGTTTGTCTGTTTGTTGCAGTTGCGTGAAAACAACTGTGAGGGAGTTGCTTCTGGAAGATTGACCTTGCTGCCCCTGTTTATTAAAAATGTTTAAGACCGAACTTTAACTCTCATCAATTTGATACTTCAGAAGCTTCTTTGTTAAATTTCCACTACATATAAATGAATGAAATCAAACACGAAAAAGAAATATCTTATAAAGTCAAATTCAAATATTTGGTATATATATATATATATGTAAAATGCATAAATTCTTGGATAATCTTTTTGGCCCTTCAACTTTAACCCTTAAAAGTTCTGATTTATTATAAACACTTTTAGAAGCTAAACAAAATAAAACTCTTAATAAACTCTCCTTCCATTCTTTTAGTATGCTTCTAACCTCAAAGCATGTTGATGCCCATGCACTGTATTTGTAGAGGAAGCTGAACGCATTAAGCACTGCAATGGTCATGTTTTCTGCTTGCGAGATGAACCTGAAGTGCATAGGATATGGTTGCCTAACGCAGAAATGCCTGGGTTAGCTGTAAACTGCAAAAATCAAACGAAAAGAAGAAAAGAAGAGAAGAATCGTGACCAATTAAACTGCATTTCTTGGTGAATAAAAGATAAGGAAAATGAACGAAAAGAAGAGGACGATGGCGAAGGTGGAAGACGAACTGTGACCAGAGCTAGGAGACGATGGCGAGGAAGAGGAAGACGAACTTAGAACGCGGGCAACGCGAGAGAAGACGAAGGAGGGAGGGGGAGGATCGCAGCGCTTGCCTTTGTGTAACAAGCCAAACGAACGAGGAGGAGAAGACGAATGAGGGAGGGGAAGGCTCGATGAGGGTTAATGCGTAAAAAGTCAATCAAGAAAGTTGTGCAGCAAGATCCATCCCGCGGCTGGCTTTTTACCCGAATCGCGTCCCGCACGCTCTCATGCCGTGATCCCAAACAGAGCCAGAGAGACATTCTTTAACCACTATCTGTGCAATAGCATAGAAAATTGTTATTATCAACTATTGTCATTATCAACTGCGGCAAAATTTGGTCCTGGCTTAGGTTGGTTGATTAGATAGCCGATAGAAGAATGGTCAACCAATTATTTTTTATTGGGTGAGGATGATTTAGTGTGTGTGATGTTAGTATGAATGAGAAATATTTGGGATAATTTTGAATAAGAATTGCTTTATTACCCCTTATATGGTTGGTGAAAAAGTGGAAAGGATGATGGAAAAAAAATTAGCTAGGGAGTAGTTTGCAATTTGAGTTATTAGTAGAAGAAGATATTTTCTTTGCTTAGAAGGGGGTATGATTTCCATAACAAAAGTTTGGGATATTAGGAAACTATTGAGCTATTTTAAGGACCAAGATAATGTTGAGAATCTTGATCAACTCATACCAGATAAAAAAAAATCATATCGATTAAATATAAAGGGAGTTGTCGCGTTTGAAGGTTAACTAGTCATAATTGTGGTAGAATAAATTTTTAGATTCTTAAGAAGTCTTCACTTACTTTAGGATGGGAAGAAGTTGTTAATGCCTTGATAAGGTTAGGAAGGACTAGGGCATGTATAAAATTAAAGGGAGACATTTTGGTTCTCAAAGTTAACTATAGTTGGTTCTCAAGTCTCTGCAAATTGTTGGGTGCATATAATCATGGTTAAGCCCTGAAATTTTGAACTCGAATGGATATGGCAAAAATAATATATGAGAGCAGTAGGGAGGAAAAATATATATGAAAATATGTTAAAATTTATCCCCACAAAAATTTCCTCGAAATTGATGTAGCTAATGATTGTATATAAGTTAAGTGGAGTACTGCAATCATTGGCTCTTATTGATATGCAAAAAATTGCATTTAAGAATGGAGTGGTCATGAGAATATGTGAATCCCGTTATTTCAACATTGCTTGGATGTCATGCTTGATTTATAAAATGGAGTTATTATAAGAATCTTGTAGCTCTTGTTTCTATTCATAGTTAGCTAAATTAGCATTTACCAAATGTGGATTGGCCATGAGAATATGTGAAAGCCTTTACTTTCTCTTTGCTTTGATTCTTCATGATTACTTAATTTGGACATAAATTTGTCATGGTAGTATCATAATTTTTCTCTGTGGTCATATAAAGGGACATCTTGTTTTTCTAGCATAACAAAATCTATCATAAGCCTAAAATTCGTGTCAAATTTTCACATCCTACAATCTAAGTACTCTAAATACTGATTTTTATGAGCACTGGTTTTACAACTACCATACAACTATCCTAATATTTCTAAAATCATCAAATATGTAGATAATAAAAATTAACCCCATCTTTTCCTTGATGATCGTCACCGTACAACATCATACATCCTTCAACCAACATTGATCTTCTTTGGCAATAGATTAGAGAGATGATGTTGCCAGTCGAACTTCTTCACATTTTTCTTTCTTTATTCAAGTGACTCATGTTGGATCAATAATGACATGCAATAGTTAATGATGCAATATTAAGTTGTGATAAAGAATGAAGGCACACGAGATTGCATATCTTATATTTTGTTGAATACTTGACTGAACACTGTTAATTCTAAATTTCTCACCATAAATACATAGACCAATGTGGTGATTCATATAATTCATGTTGTTATTGTTGTACTTTTCTGTTATAGATTATTATTTTAATGGTTATGTTCATTAGTCATATTATCATTTAGTTCTAATAAATTAAGATCATTTTTATACAATAAGCTCAGTTTTCTTAGGTCTACCTCTGCCTTTTTTAACATAAGTCGAATCTAAAATATCTACTCGCTAATCGGATCATCAAATGGTCAACGTTTAATGTGACCAAACCATCTAAAACGACTTTCTCTAATTTTATGATGCCACAAATTTAAAAGGTCACAAACAAGTTCTAAGTTTTGCTTCTAAAACATAACCATCACTCAGAAAACTATTAAAAATGAACAGAGATTACAAGCTAAAACCTCAATTGCATGCCACAAATTTAAAAGGCCACAAACAAGTTCTAAGCTTTTCTTCTAAAACATAACCTTCACTCAGAAAACTATTTAAAATGAACAGAGATTACAAGCTAAAACCTCAATTGCCAACATGTTCAAGAAAATAATTTGATAAGTATAATAGCTGATTCAAATCAAAGATAGTTGAAGGTTATAATAAGAAAATCTCAGTGTTTAGAGTAAACACATGGAGATGAATAATCTGTCATCAAAAGAAAGTAGTAGACCCATAATGCAAGGGATCTTGGTTTCCAGAAATACCCTTTAAAAAACTACCACTTGAATAAAGAAGCAGGTACCAAACTACAAAAGATGCACAAGCAACCAAAGCCATTTTAGAAAAGAGTACCAATTTTTTTAAAACTGCAGGTAGATTACTACACTATACGTATCTAAGTGGTAATGACGACAAAGAGCTTTTTTTACTATATATGGTGAAGGATAATAGAGATCCTTCAAATAAGATGCATTACTTCCACAATCACCATGTAAATTCCACCCAAATGAGATGCTTTACTTCCACTGTAAATCAAATACCTAAACCTTTATATTTAATGCATAACAGACATACCCTTATGTTATAAAGTGTGACAGATAAGATGGGGAATTGTAAATCCGGAGCACTTAACAATGCCATTTGGGGAGCACACATCATAAAGAATATTTGGTGGATATCATTAGCAAGTAATCATATGAATCATGCGAATGCATAACAGACATACCCTTATATTATAAAGTGTGACAGATAAGATGAGGAATTGTAAATCCAGAGCACTTAACAATGCCATTTGGGGAGCACACATTATAAAGAATATTTAGTGGATATCATTAGCAAGTAATCATATGAATCATGCAATAATGTTACTTTCCACACATACATGATTTAGTAGTACTATAGTTCTTCTTATGTGTGTGGATATTTACATACACACCACCTTAGGTGTTGCAACATACGATTCTCAATTAAAGTCTTGGTTTCTGATATGTAAATCCATAAGAATCAAGTGGCATGTATGGATTTTGCTATGCAGGAGTTAGCCATGCAGTCAACAACATATGTTGTAATAATTTTTTTGCAATGTTCTCCATGTACTCTGTCATTAGGATTCACTGGTGTGAAAATAATTAACATTGTTACACAGAAGATATATCACACGTTGTATTTGGGAGCTAATGTTAGATCATTAGAAGATATCACATGTAGAAGAAAACTTGATAGTATCGAATGAGATAACACATCACAAGTACTAACATCAAAAGTTTTTGTTCTGTCAAAATATTTCACAAAATGAAATTACATCAATAGTATTTGTTGTACAATATAAATTGATGTCAATAGTAGTTATTCAACTAAAATAACAATTGTACTTTAATCAAAACATGTAGAAGTAGGATTAATCAAACATTACAATTTTCATAGAAGAAGTGCACATAATGAACCCTCCTCTCAGGTGTCATGGATGTGAAAACATGCCTCTTGACATGATCTTCAATTAGTTCAATGAGTAGAGATACAATGAAATATCCTCATAAAGAAACATGTAGAAGTAGGATTAATCAGACATTACGGTTTTCATAGAAGAAGTGCACATAATGAAGCCTCCTCTCAGGTGTCATGGATGTGAAAACATCCCTCTTGACATGATATTTAATTAGCTCAATGAGTAGAGATACAATGAAATATCCTCATAAACTTTCGGCATCTGTTCTAAAATTTTTATTACATCTAGAATAGATGAAGATTGTTATGTCGTGATAGCCTCGGAAGATGAGTTTGTGCATATTGTAATTAGCTCAAATATTTAACTTCTTAGGTATGCAGGACCAATTTTTTTAGTACGACTTGCCCTTTTAACGAATTTGGTGTCCTTGCATTGCTAGATTATTCTTTAATTGAGTTCGGTCATATACTTTATTTGACTTCTTAGGTATGCAAGACCAATTTTTTTAGTACGACTGCCCTTTTAACGAATTTGGTGTCCTTGCATTGTTAGATTATTCTTTAATTGAGTTCGGTCATATACTTTTTGGTTTTCTCTTGAAAATTTTTTGTAATGTTATGTCAATCTTCTTTGTTGAAATGTGTGGTTGGTTTATTTTCTAACCCAAACTCTTTTATATAAATATAACAAAAAACATTATTATTTTTTTGTCCCATATAACAGACGATGCTTTGTTTCTTGTGTTGCCCATTTGTTGAAATGAGATCAAAACTTTAAGCAAAGGACATCTAGCAAAAAAAAATTAGAAGTGCTTTACATACATACCACGAATAAAGGAAATGAATCAATTAGAAGAGCATCTAGCAGATAACCTTTCCCACTTCTATTCATCAAGGAAATGAATAAATGAATTTCTAAGTAAACTTTGACACATTTGAATCGAAGAATTTTCAAAAGCAAATAACAAAGACATAAGAGCCTCAATCTTATTTGAGATTCTAATTTTGTTGATTAGTTAAATATGACTTTAGTTGCAAAAGTATAAGTGAAGATAGATGCATTACATAACAAACAATACATAACAAGCAAAGTATTTGAGATAAAGTTGCAATCATAAAAGAAATGAAAGTTGTCCTTAATTTTATTTTTAGACATACATGAACAAATCTCATTAAGAAATAACAAAAAAAAAAAAAAACTATTGTTGAAAATTGAAGAGGGATTGTAGGATTCCAGATCAAAAAACAAGCTTGAGTGCACCCATGTCTTTCAAATAAAAAAGAACAAAAGGAACTCATCATAAAAATTCATTCATGGGACAAGCCTTACTTAGCAAGTATTGGTAGTTAGCATTGCATAACAAGTTTTGGCATTACAATCCAAAATATGCCAATCCAGAGCATCCTCCCGAACGAAAATAAAATTACAGTGAATAAAATTGTTCACTTATTATTTAAGAAAATCAGAAAGTTGCTCCATACCACACAATTCTTCAAGTATGAAAGAAAATCAAAAAGTTGCCCAAATTATCATTGTGAGATAGGTTTTACACAAAATTAAAGCCAAATTATGACTTCCAATAACAACATAATCACTAGAGATTGTGATAAATCAAATGATATGAGGTGTTGGGCTGCACAATTAAAGCTAAACATTCATACTTTACATCATTGGACAGAAGCAAAGATGGGCAAACATACCTTAAGAGTAGGGCTGTCACAAAATCTCGTTGTTCGCGAAAAGTTCGTGTTAGGTTTGTTAATGAGTTTGTATTCGATTTGTTCGCTAAGTATACGAGAAGAACGTAAACAAATTGTTTTTGTTATGTTAGTTAAACGAACCAAACACGAACGGTGATGCGTTCATTCGTGTTCGAATCGTTATTGTTTGAAACATAAAATAATTAAAAATAATTATATATAAAAAATTATGATATTTTAAAAAATTAAATTTTAAAAATTATAATATATTAATATACTATATAAGTAATATACTAATATAGATATTATAAATTTATATAATATAAGTTATATAATTAATATAATATATTATTTATATATATTAATATTAGGGATGTCAAACTGGTTCGTCGTTCGCGAACAGCTCGTGTTCGGCTCGTTCGTTAACGGCTCGTTCGTTAAGAAACAGACACGAACAATGACTTCACGAACAATATCGAACACGAGCTTATTTCAAACGAACCCAACACGAACACAAGCTCTGTTCCTTTGTGTTCAGTTTGTATACACCCCTATTTAAGACAGAACAACCTTCAAAAGAGTGTAGGCCTTTTAAGAATATCAAAGCAAAAAATAGTAGGTTCCAACAAGAATAAGGAGCATCAAGAAATCAAATTTCTAAGTAGCCAAAATACTGTAGTACATTGAAAGAATAGGTGGCTATGAGTTTCTGAGAAAGTATTACAAAACTTGTGCAATTAAAATAGTAGGATTTCATAGATTTATTTAAAAAAAACTTAACTTTTACAGAAAACAAAAAGAAAATGACAGATCTCTATCATTTTAACTCCTTTTTACCTGTAGTTGTACTTCACTCATGCAAAACGTATGAGAGATTGTTAAAATCAACTGCATGATAGATTGACAAGATAAAAAGAATGACAGATAAGATATTGGCAAGATAAGAAGAATGGCGAAGATGTTACCAGACGAGCGAGATCGAGCGCGCTAGGGCAAGAGAGAAGAAGAATGCTATAGGGCACAAAAATGCTCTAGGGCACGCACAATTCCTCTTTGCAAACAAGGTGAGGGGCGAGGGTAGAATAGAGAACCATGATGTAGGTTATTCGCGAACACGAAAGACACATGTGGTTCTACATCCGTGAATCTACAGTAACTCCAAATTGGGGTTTGGAGCCACTCCATCTAAAAGCACGAATTAAACATACCCAAACACGGTTGAGTTCAACAACTATTTTTAAAGCTCAATCGATAAATTTTTGGGTATTTCCATAAATACCACCCAATTCCAATGTAATTAGATATCTAACACAAAAACTTTGATTTTTACATTTATACCACTCTTAATTATTCTTATCACATTAAAAATACCATCATTTAAGATGATGTTTGTGGAAAAATTGAAGTTTGTTTGTTAGTTATATAAATATATAAGAAATGGCGTTTCATACTTAATTTTTATTTAGTCTTTTAAATGAAAAAATATGTGGCCGCCAATCGGACACACATCTCAAGTTAGCTTCGCCCAGATCGGTGTTCGCTGTTAGGTTTTCCTCTTTCGTCTCTTCGCTCCTTCGCTGCACTTGAAATGCAGCAAATTGTAGGTCACCATCCGAAGAATCCAAGCTCATTCTCCACCAATCTCTTCTTTCTTGATCGTTCCTCAAGCCATTACAATGGCTCTCCATTCCTCATCCATTCGCCTCGTCGGCGGTGTCGCCCCCTTCTTCATCCACAAGCCCCGCTTCCAACTCCATCGGTGTACCGCCGTCTCCGCTGTCGACTCCTCCAAAGTTCGTTTCGTTGCCCGCCGGGCCGAATCTTCCAAAGTGCAGCAACTCCAGCGTCCTCTTGGTAAGAAAAACCCTTATCGAGAGTGAAATAGAAGTTTATATATATGTATTCATGGATAAGAACAACTTGGGTTTTTGGATTCGGGGGCAGCGGATTACATGGCACTGCCGGCGAGCCAGTACTCAGTTCTAGACGCGCAGCGAATCGAGCGAGTTGATGAAAACACCTTCAGGTGCTACGTATACCGTATTAAATTCTTCACCTTCGAGATCTGCCCCGTCCTCGTCGTTCGAGTCGAGGAAGAGCCCTATGGATGCTGCATTCGGCTGCTTTCCTGTAAGGTAATGGTGTTCAATGTTGTGCTTTTTCTCCTCGTCACAAGGTGTTTGTAGGAGTTTTAATTTATATTATTTTTTGTGGCAGCTTGAAGGGTCACCACTCGTGGAGGCGCAGAACGATAAATTTTCTGGTAATGAATCTCTTTGAGCTTTTGTTGCTTTGTTTGATATATAAAGAGAGCTTGGTTTGGTCTTCTGCTCTTAACTTTCTGAAATCTTCATGAGATGATGTTACTTCTAGTGAAATTGAATTGATGTTGAAGTTTTTTGATGATTTTGCTCTAAATCTCAATAGCAATGCAAGCTTATTGGTTGAGAGCTTAGGCTGTCAATCAAGAGGTCCTGGTTTCAAGGCCTTGGGTATGCGGTGTGCAATTGTTTGAGATTAAATTCGCTCTATTGTCCAAAAAAAAATCTCTATAATAAGAATGTTGATGATAGCCAAGAAAATAATGCAAGCAACGAGTTTTTTTCTGCAGATTTTAGGGGTTTTGAAAGGTTGGAATTGTTTGGTATGGGTTGAACTCGTCTTTTCATGTTGTTCTTACATAAATTTCCTTTGTAGCCTAATTCTAAGTGTAAGTTGCAGCAAATTGTATTCTCAATAGATTCGTGATTTTGTGAATTTTTGTTATGGTTAATGTCAACAACGGTTAATTCAATCTTCGGTGTATTACTTAAATGTTGTACGAAATTCTCTTATCAAAATATGAACCATTATCGTATGCTGAAAATTTTGTGGCAGTATATGAGAGTTTCTTGTCAAAGCATTGCACAAGGATTCACATATACAAATAAAAGAAGTTCAAAAGTGATACTAGAGTTTTTAAATTTGAAAAGAGAAAAAATCAAAAGCCTAGCCCATATGAGATAATCCACTATGCCAATCAGGTTTGTAGAAGTTTGTTGGTTCTCTAAATTGGTGAAGATGATATTACAAAATATGGAAGGCTAGCCTAGCCTCCTATAGTTATAGTAAGGAATAATGGAGAAACAATGAAGGGTGATAATGATGATTAAAAGATGGATGGCAATCAATAAATATCAATGTTGTTGATGAATGGTCATGGTTAGAAGAGTCATTTGTAGGATCCGAAAATTTGCTCCTCGGCCTCCCTTGAAAATGAATGATGAGAGCTTTATGTGAGCGTCTCAAGTCAAATTTTCAGAAGGCAGACAATATATAAGACACTATTCAAAGATCATACCCTCTTTTTTGATGAAGATCTGAGTTTAGAGATTTCCTATAAGCAAACAACCTTATGGTTAATCAAACTTGATAATGAGATGGCACTTTCGATTGATAGAGTATAGATTACTCAACATAAAATAGCAATAATTAAGTTTTAGATTATGAAATTTATCACCGCGAGCTTAGGAGCGGATAGCGTGGGAATGATCATGAGCTTGATCAAGGGTTTAGGTTCCATCATCCATATTTGCCATAACTATGGAAGGCTAGCCTAGCCTCCTATAGTTATAGTAAGGAATAATGGAGAAACAATGAAGGGTGATAATGATGATTAAAAGATGGATGGCAATCAATAAATATCAATGTTGTTGATGAATGGTCATGGTTAGAAGAGTCATTTGTAGGATCCGAAAATTTGCTCCTCGGCCTCCCTTGAAAATGAATGATGAGAGCTTTATGTGAGCGTCTCAAGTCAAATTTTCAGAAGGCAGACAATATATAAGACACTATTCAAAGATCATACCCTCTTTTTTGATGAAGATCTGAGTTTAGAGATTTCCTATAAGCAAACGACCTTATAGTTAATCAAACTTGATAATAAGATAGCACTTTCGATTGATAGAGTACAGATTACTCAACATAAAATAGCAATAATTAAGTTTTAGATTATGAAATTTATCACGCAAGCTTAGGAGCGGATAGTGTGGGAATGATCATGAGCTTGATTAAGATTTTAGGTTCCATCATCAATATTTGCCATTTATTCTAATCTACTTAGTAAGGGGAGGTAGTTTTGATCCAACGTGACAAAATGATCCTTATCAATAGTTATAAGTTGTTTCGTCTATGTGAACCTTGTAGACATGCGTTGGATGTATGTATAAGAGAATAAATTCAAGTTTTTCTTAGCTTACAAGGGCTTTGTGTTCCATATCAATATATCTTATGATTTACAACTCATAGGGTAAGAATACTATTGGATAATATACGAGCTAATATCATGATTGTAATATATTGGTGCCTACTGGTCAAATCATCTCTCAGATGACTTAGGTCGTAACTTTTTTTTTTGTAAAGAATATTGGTCAAATCACAGAAATAGAGGACTATTATGTTCTACTGATATGATATATTTTTTTTATTGTGAATGTTATAACATATTTGATAGATCATTTTCTTATTGCGAGCTTATGTTAACGTCAAATTTGTCATTCTCGACAAATTATTACGAAGTGTGAACATGATTTGTTTTTAGTTCATTGAATGATAAATTATACTTGAATATTTTGAGTTTTGCAGTTTAAAATTTTAATTTTATAAATAAAACCTTTCATTTGAGATTTTCATTTAACACAACCATCATCATGGCATTTAATATTTAAAATGCTTGTATCTTTAATTTGATTGAAGTTTGTTACAAGCATTTATAGAAGTATCAGTCTTGTCCGATTTGTTCCTTGTAAGGAGGAAAATTGGTTTGGCTTAATTGCTCTTAGTCTGTTTAATTTTGCTATTTATTTCGAGAATGATCAGACTAACTTAGGTTGAACTTACGGTCTTATCTATATGTAAGGCGAACCTGCTCGAGAGCATACATAATTTAATTATTCATTTTGCTTCTTGAAGAGAAATTTTATAAACTTTAAGCTTATCTTGAACCCGCACAACATTCTCAGGTTTTATGATTAAACATTTAACATGTTACTTAGAGCACATTAGATATTTTATTGATGTGCATACATTTTGATGCACTCACATAATGTATCTATGTTATTTTTTATGCTCTTGCAAGATATACTTACATGTTGTTTGGTGTTTGTAAGATGTAATTGCCTACTTTTTAAAGTATTTTAGGATATTATCGTATGATACGTGCACAAAGCTTCATTTTGAACTTCTTAAACAACTTATTTTACCTGCTTGTAGACTCATATTATGGATTCAATGGCATTGTAAATTTAATATTAATTTGTAATTTTTGTTTGGATTTTTAATTTAGATTCCTAGGCCAAATGTCATTTCAATTTTTTTCTCACTTAGGCGGTAAGATTCATCTTATTTGACTATTTTTTTTATAGGCCCTACAAGGCATCTTTTTCTATCTATAAATTGGAGAGATATTTTATTCATTCCATTCAACTGTGTGTTTAGGGTATAATGCATTCTAAGCAGTTTTGAGTGAAAGAAAGGTTCGCTCGTCCTTGCTAGTTAAGTTTTAAGTCCATGTAAGTTTTAGTCAAGTTTGATTCTGTTTAATTTTAGTTCTTTAAAATATTTTACATAATTGTTTTAAGTGCTCATGTTACTTTCAACCGTGCAATTTTTATTTTCTCATTTAGTTGCATATTAGTCCAATAATTCATTTTTTATTTTTTTTCTTTTTAAGCAAATTGTTCGTAGAAAATTGATAGCCTCTCATCATGCTTTAAAAAAAGATGCATGGTCTATGTCTCACAACACTATGCCAAGGGTCTTCAAACCCACTACACTTGAAAAAAAACATGTTTGAGTCTTTGTGTGCCTGTATAAAAAAATTATGCAAACATCCTTCCACTACATCGACATGACGCACGTGAGTTCTTAACTCATCACGCTTAAAAGGTATACATAGAGCTTCAAGTACCTTTATAAGAACATTCAGACAACATTATTTTTCAAATACATCAAGACAATGCAAGCGAGAACTTGTGTTTACTTTTAGGATAAAAATGAAAATTTATTTTATTTATCTTTATTATTTTTAGGATACTATGAATTTCTTAATGACCCTTTTATTTTTAATTTTATTCTAAATATGTATTTTTATGAAAGTAATAGTTTTAAATTAAAAATTAACTTGGTTGTCTCGTTGTATTTAGAAGAAATTTTAAAATTGTGTAGAGAAGCATTGAGGCATATTTTTTTCTTGAGGTGAAGTGTTTGCCTTAAGAATTTTGAAGGCATAAGCCTTTCATTTAAAAAATTGAGTAAAAAAATTTTATACAAATTTTAAAGTGTTAAGTGCAAATAACATATTACAATCCAAACATATTGACACATTAAATAGTAATATATTAATACCCTTACAAAATAAAAAGTAATAAATTGTGTAAGGAAATAAATAACTTACTAATATTAAACTATCAAAATAAGCGAAAATGTTAAATTAAAATATTAAAACTTAAAAGTCATAACAATCAAAATAAATTATACCATTTATCACGAGTCTCTCTCTACCATTCATATTGTTCTTCACTTAAGCTTGAAAATAACAATCTATCAATATTAAAGGTTTTAAATTTAATAGCCTCCATCACTTTTATCATTTTTGGACTTTATTTCATGCATATGTATAATGAGTTCTTTCTCACTCGTCTCATATTCAGTTGTAATAATGTTCTCCCATTTATCTTCATTTTCAATCTCAGTGATCATTCTCTTCTTTAATCAATAGTAGTCAATAAAAAAAAAAGTAAAAGTAATGACTATATTCAAATTACATTTATAAAAAAAAAAGTAAAAGTAAAAGTAAAAGTAATGACTATATTCAAATTACATTTTTAATTACATGCTTTTTATGGATATTCTTTTTTAGCTTATTTCTAGCTACTTGTGGTGGACCTATTAGTCACGCTTTTGTTCTCATAAAAAAGTTCTTATTGAGATCTTCTTTCTGCAAAAAGTTCTCTATTTTTTTTCTTTTATTCTTCTAGTATACATAATATAAACCAATGACTTCATTCTTAAGGTATTCAAACAATTTTTAATTTATATAGATTTGAGTTTATGTACTCTAATTTTGCTGAAAACCTAACAATAAACATTTAAGTCCTATTAGCAAGCCGAACATGAGCCGTTCACGAAAAAAGTGTAGTTTTGACAATCTTAATCATGTAGTCATAAAATGTAAAGGATTGAGGCAAGATTTAAAATTATTGTTTATATTAAAACATTATTTGA